CCTGCGTCCCTGTTCAACATGGAAGAAGCCAGAGTGGTCTGTATCCCGATTCCGTATCGGCAATTTGGGTCACCTCTTCAGAGGATGGTGTGATAAGAACAGTAGGTAGGAACTGGCTAGGCAGTTAAGGTAAAGAGACCCCCCCCCAAAAAAAAAGTAGCCAGTTTCTTGGGTAAAAGTCAAAATGTCCTTGGGCTTCTTAGCAACATACTCTGTTCCAAAGGCCAAAAATGTCAAAAGTATTTGGGAGCTCTTATCTAATCCCTAAAATATTTTAGGGTTACCTCTTCAGAGGGAGGGAATGTTAGATTAGCTAAAAGCCCCATTAAAAAGAGAGGAAGAAAAAATACCAGAAGTTGTCAGCAATTTCCATGCTTTCAAAACTCCTAACACAGTGGCACCTTGCTATGTTTGGCTCTGAGTTAGAGATGCAATCTTGCCCACTCCCCCGACCACAGCTTCTGTGTACCAACCCCGAGGAAATACTTAACCAGAAAGTTTCATCTCAATGATACTGATCTTTTATTAGTCATAGATGGTTCTTTAGCCCCAACTGATCAGCATCTAGTGTTTTGATAAAGCACAGATTGATCTATCTCTTGTTATTCACAGCCGTGTCTTAGACTCAGCTGACCAGAAACCAAGGATTCTTAATCCAAACTACCACGTGAATAGCATGATAGCTGTTTGTACAGTTATCCAAATTAAGAAATCAGTAATTGGCACACTCCTTTAATCTCAGCACTTGGGAGGCAGAGGCAGGTGGATCTTTATGAGTCTGAGGCCAGCCTGGTCTACATAGTGAATTTGGGCTAGCTGGGGCTACAGGGAGACCTTGTCTCAAAAAGACAAAAAAAAAAAAAAAAAAAAAAAAAAAAAAGAAAAATCAATAATTAGCCAATACATTTTAACACACTTGTTTTATTTGTGGCTATTCTACATGAATTTTGTCTTCTTTTTGAAAGAACAAACATTAAAAGAATTTTAAGATAAATATGTACAGTAACGAAGTTGGAAAGATGTCAGTTGTTTTTCATTACTAGTTATGGGGATGAAAGTTCTCTAAATTCTTTTAATTTGTCCACTTTAGCATTGTTAGAACTGTACCTTGCCATCTGATAAGGGAGGCTGAGCACAACTCATTAAAAGACAGAGAGCTTGGCCCAGAAGTGCATGTACATAGTCTTTGTAGTGGAGGTGGAGAAGGAGGATCAGGAATGTACTGGGTCAGGTTATGAAAAGTGAGGACGCATACAGAGGATGTTTTGTTCTTTGGGATGCATGCTTCCTATCTCCTGCCTTTACTTCTTTAGGCATACTGTGTTCCTGATTATTTTAACTTTAGGTATAATACTTATATGTCACATGTAAATGTTATGTCAGATGCAGAGGTATGGGAACAAAAGAAAATTAGACCCAGATCATGATGCTTAGTATGTTTTATATGATCTAGGGTTTCTTCCTTAATAGCCAACCACTTCTCTCTCCTGGGGACGGCTTTCAGCCTCACCTATGTCAGATCCTAGGAATGAATGTTTTTAGTAAAATATTTGTCCTGTCCATATACAAAATATGATGGGTGCTTGGCCAACAGGAAGAAGTGTGAACTGAAGGTTTCGGGAAAAAGCTTCTATAAGGCTGATTGACTAATTAAAACTTCCCTAATTGTGGAGAAGAGAGATGGATGTTACAGGTCCAACCCAAATTATCTTGGACTGTCTTTAGCTCTCCTAATAGCCATTCATTGCCTACCCCTGTGTTTGATCTAACACTCATCCTTGTGACTATTAGGGATGTACTAATAAGACCTTATGGGGTGTACTAATAAGACTCCCAGCTTCCACCAACCCAAAGACCAAGAATATTGTTAGATAGCATCTGAGGCTTATCGCAGAGATTTTCCCACTTTGCTGTAATCCTCTTGCCTGATATTCTCACCAATGTATTTTTAAAAAATACCTTGACTCATTATTTTCCTTGTTCTGCTACTGTGAAAACATCATGACATTGTTACCACGTTGGAACGTGGTATTTGGGATAAACTGAATCTGTGTTCCTGGGCCATGATCATATTTGGCTCCAGGAGAAACTGTATCTTACTCTTGTTCAGTTGAGAGCTGTGTTTTTATGTCAACAAACTCAAGTGTTGGGAGGGGGGAAAAGGGCATCGTAATAATTTAGAATACCTTCTGTTTTATATTTGGTAAACATGAGGCCAGTTAAGGACCTTTTAAGCAGTTTGATCAACTTTGGAATAGAAAAGGAGTTTTGAATGACAGATCTGAAAACTGAATCACAAATAGTCACTTATTTAGTTAGTGGCTTATGGTGCACAGGTTAGATTAATTACAGTCAATTAGATGATTTTTCCATAGCATGGATCTCTTCCTCTGTCATGTACATGGCAGTTTACCTGACAGCTAACAGGAAATTGCTGTTGACCCATGTTCAGGTAGCAGCTGGCATACTTTAAGAATTCCAGAAGGGGATTGGGGAGATGGCTCAGCACCTTGGCTCAGGTTTGGTTCCCAGCACCCACTCAGATGGCTCACAACCACCTGTAACTCCAGTTCCAACGGATCTAATACTCTCTGGCACCTGCATACATGTGGTACATGCAGACTCATGTAGGCGCGTACACACATGCGCATGCACACACACACACACACACACACACACACTCCTGTAATCCTATCACTGGAGAGCCTGAGGCATTAGTAGAATCACTCTGAGTTCAAGGTCAGCCTGGTCTATGTAACCAGTTCCTGGACAGCCAGGGATACCTAGTGAGACCTTATCTTTGAACACAAAATAAAAGATGAGTACAAGCACACTGGAAATATGGTATTTGGCACAGTGCTTGCTTGTGAATGGATTGGACTCCCTGAGACTCTTGAGAATGTGGCCTATATTGAGAGACTCCTGTGAGCTGACAGTGTCCAATAAGAATACCTGTGCATATAACAATCATTGAGTCAGTTTAAGATGATAACTATTTAGTAGAAAACTAGTATTAGGTTATCCCCTATGTCCTGTGACCTGTTTAGACTCAAGTTCCTAAGCCTGATATCAATATGCCTAATATCAATGTCAGGTATGGGCTCCATCCTAGGAAGCAGACGTTAAATCCAATTAGAAACTGATTGGTTACTTCCATGATAATCATGCCACCATTGCACCATGGGCGTATCTTGCCAGGTCAGTTGTTTTTATAGTTTACGGGTTTCACAGCTGGGTAATGTTAAAGATTATTTTTCCTTCTAGTAGCTTGCATAGCACCTTCCAGCACTATGAAAACTAGCCAGCAGAGATGAGGCTCTAAAGTCAGCACTAGCTTGATTTCTCCTTGTTTGTTCTACAGCTCATATATGTAGTATCTTCAGCAGTAAGGTCTTACCATCTAGTTCTGGTGAGTAACCAAGAGAAGGAGCAATGTCCAGTATAGTTTGAGGGTCTGTGGGACCCCTGATCATCAGATTCTAGAGAGGGAGTCCATTACTGGCATGGGGGTTTTCTGTCTTTTATTTTCATTAGCCTATGATGTCTAGAAAGGGCAATGTCCCCCTGTTATAGGATAACTCCTTTTTAATCTCTTTATGATATATATATATATGTATATACTTTAAGAAGCTTCTATAGTGGTAGGTCTCCATATGGCTTTTCCTAAAGGCCTTTAGTGTTATTATCCCTCCCCATACTCCCTCCTCTGCCCTGTCCTCCCATTTTCCACCCCATTCAGCCCTTTCTAGTCTAATGTTCCCCTTGCTCCCCTCATATCACTGCATTTGACCTCCCCTCCCAGAAAACTCCAGGAAGCCTCCTCCCCCACCCACCCATGACCATTTATTAGTTTCTTGACCTCTGAATTTCAAATTGAAACATACATATCTAAGATTTCAAAGCTCTCATCCAACTATGGGAGAGGACATGTGATGTTTTTCTTTCTTAGTCTGGGTTACCTCACTCATGATTGTTTACTGTTCCATCCATTTACCTGTGAATTTCATAATGTTTTTAAAAGAGCTTAGACTCATAGGTTAATGCATCTCTCACCTCTCACCAGAGAAGTTTCCTCATGCACCTACAACTAGCCAGTGTGCAGAGAACAAGAGGCTACAGAGTGCTTACCCCTGAATAGGACACCTGTATCAAATCTCTGCCTTATAAGGCTCAGAGATCATTGTGGAAGAGAGGGTGGAAATATTATAAGAGCCAGAGGTGGTGGATGACCACAAGGAAATAATTTTCCAGACAGCTGGTCAGTTAGTCGTATGAACTCACAACAATGATGACAGCATGCACAAGTCCCATGCAACCTCAAACCAGAAAAAAAAAAAAAAAAAATTCCAGCATAGACATGGGGAAAGTGGGTAAGAAATTCCAACCCAGCCTAAGGAAATTATAGCAACCAGATGGTTGCTGGGAGGAACAGAGACAATCTGTTTTAAGCATGGGACTCTTGATAGGTTAACCAGGCTCCAGTGGATAGACCCACACTGAAGGACATTTGGTGACACAAGTTAGACTCTATAGGCCTTAAATTGTGTTAGGAGGTTAGCAATAAAGGGAGGTTCAGATAGGGGAAGGATCTAAGTACCATAAAATCATATTGTATAAAAATTGCAAAAACAATTATAAAAAAGAATTCTTATGGAGAAAGACAAATGAGATAGTGGAGCCTCAAGAATTTGTTAATAGACATATATTTTGGAAATCCGAAATGAGAGCACTTTTACTGACATGCAGAACAATATTTTTGGTAACAAACTAGCTGGAATACTTAAAATCAAGCATGAACCAGGAAATACAGGTCAAAAATGGCCCAAGTGGATCTAAGGACCTTTGAAGGTAAATAGTAAATTATTTTCATTTCGATACTTTTAAGTATTAATTATTGGATGTTTAAATAGATGTTGTAAATGAATTTTATCTGTGTTATAATTAAGACTATTTGGGTCACATGACCCATCTGAAAGTTCTTGTTTCTGTTTATTTTGTAGGGAATGCAATGTTAATTCTGAATACTGATGTTCTACAATGCCTGATCAAGACAAAAAGGTGAAAACCACAGAGAAACCAACTGATAAAAAGCATCAAGAGTCTACCACCAGGTAACCAAGTCCTTGCTAATCAATCATTCACTGGGACGATGGTGCTGAGTGGGTTGAGTTGTTTCTTGAGAAAGGGACTTCTGGGTTACTATGTTTACTGAAACACAGGGTTCTTCACAGAGTTTTGACAGAAATGGTTATCGTGGATGCATTTGTCTATAGAGGCAGGCCTCCTCAGTGGCAGTGCCATCAGTATTATATGACCTTGTTCACCTGGAGCCTTTGTGGGTTGACATTGTGCTATTCTTTCTCCTAGGGACTATTCAGATCTTAAAAGACTTCGGTGCCTTTTGAACGTTCAGTCAAGCAGACAACAGGTAGTTTTCAAAGACTGTGCATGTATTAATAAAAATCATGTGTTTCTGAAGGGATTCATCTGACATCTTTGTGTACAGTTTCTTTGTTTTCTAAGACTTTTCTTGCTGTTTTCTCTCATCTGAGTCTGCGAAGAATTGGCATCTGAAGCTTTTTCATCTTTCTGCACTCGCACAGACCCTGCTTGCCGTCATGTTTCCTAATGAGAAAAACGTGTCTTTTTCAGTCTGTAAATAGCCAATTCTTTAATCAAATGCCACAGTTTACCTTTTTAGAGCTTTAGGGAAGTTCGTTTTTCCAGAGTACTGTTTCTACATTTCTTCCTCCCAATATACTGTCTAACCCTGCTCCTTGCTATAAGACCACTCCTAATGCTTGCTGTAGATTGTGCCACACCAAAAGGAGGGGGAGGACTGAGCTTGTGGCTAGTTTTAGTAATGTCTTGTGCTTTATTAGTCAAGAAAAGACTAGAACTCCTGCTTTATCTCTAAACTTGACTTTTTGCTTTTACTTTTAGAGGAATTTGGAAAGTCATAAGATTAGAGATAATCCATTGAGGGTTTAGGAAACAACCTAGTAGTGCTACTAATGATAATAGTAGATGCTCATATAGTACTGCCAACTAGTTAACGGCAGGGACAGGACTCGAATGCTGGTCCTCTACCTCCAGAGTATACTACAGTACACTTTTTAAGTCAAGTTAAGAGTTCATGTGATTAGTAATCAGTTGTGATTTTTAAAAGTTTTAAATTTTTTTTTATGTGTGTGTTGCTTGCATGTGTGTGAGTGCACCTGTGTCGTGCAATGCCGCGGAGGTCAGAAGAAGGCTTTGGATTCCCCTGGAACTGGAATTAAGGATGGTTTGTAGCCACGATGTGGGTGCTGGGAATCGAACCCGGGTCCTCTGCAAGGAGGTCCTCTGCAAGAGCAGTCAGTGCTCTTAGTCACTGAGCCATCTCTCCAGCCCCTGTGATTTTTTTCTTATAAAACCAAACTTACAAGAGAACTATAGCATTTTTATCTATTTATTTATTTTAGAAAATGACTTCCTCAAGATTTGGTGGCATATGAAGGCAAAATAATGATAGCTCACATTTAAGGAGCATTAGCTATATCCTAGTGTCTTAACTGCAATGCTACCCTGTTTAATATTTAAAACTTCCACTTTCACAGATAGAAAAACTGAGGTGCAGAGAAATGACCTTTTTAAAAGACACTCTGTCTTTGCAATGTGTGCCTTAATCACTGAGATGCCTTCTTAATGAGTTGGAAAATTAACCTGTAGTTAAAAATGGTTGAACGAGTGAAAATGTCCTTAGAATATCTTTCTCCGTGAACCCTTTCTTTGTGTTATTATGCTTCAACCCCTATGAACCCTCTTCTTATCTACCTATTCAAGAAGTTACTTTACCCATTTTCATCTGTGGCTCACTGCTTACAAATCTTCGTGAATGACTGTCTCGATCATGTCGACTCTTTCTTGGAGAGGAAGAAAGAAGACCTTACATACAGTTTTGATGTAGATCCAGTTTTCCCCCTGGTGCATCCTACAGTGTAACCACAACCAGACTCTGCTGCTTGCTTGCTTGTTCTCTCAGACTTCCTCCATATGCACTCTGTCTTGTTTCTGAGACCCAAATCTAACACTTCCTCCTCTACACATGGCTGCCTGCCTCAGGTTAGGCTTTCTCTTCTGGAGCAACTTCTTTCCCAACTGAGACATTGTTGCCTCTCTTGCTTTGGAAAGTCTTGTGTATGTCCTGTTTCCTGATGATGCCACTCATTCCCTGTGCCAGCAACTTTGCCTTCCTTCTGCTTCACTGTGCTCTTTATTCCATGAGTTTGTGGTTAGTTTCTCCTAAGTTGAACTGTGATCTGGGAATTTAGTCACTATGAACATGGGCAACCCCTGGTCAGACAAAAGAAACGCCAGCAGTGTGTCTGGGTTGCTTTTGTTTGGGGCTCAAAGTTTTCAGGGTTGAAATTCGTCCTGGCTAGATCTACTTTTTCTCCTTTCAATACCACTTCCTTGTTAACACCTGGAAAGCTCAATTAAGGTATTTACTGATTTCCCTTTTTTAGTCAACTTTGGAATTCTCTATTGTTTGTCTGACAGGTTCACATGACATATCTTTTTGTTAAATATTTCACATACACACATGGAGTATTTGTAATCTTTGAATTATTTTAGAAAGCAGATAGTTGAAAGAGAAAATGCAGTGACTGTCCTCCCTTTGAGGAAGGTTCTTAAGCACCACAAAACCTTTGGCTAATTCTGTTTATAAAACTTTCCTGCACCTGTCATTGTGATAATGAAACTTACCCTGAGCTCTATTCTCCTTTCATGAAACAGTATACAGATATTTATGGGAGAAGGAGGATTCTGGAAATAAACTCAAGCATTTACTTATTAAAGATACATGAAATAAGATAGGTTATCATAAATTAAACCCTAACCCAAAGAGAAAAGGGCTGGGAGAGTCTCGGGCAGAAATCCCCGACAGCATGCAAGTGGCCCATGTTTGCCTCTCAGGTTTTCAGTATCTGTTTTGAAGAAGAACATTTGGGAGTGAGACACCTGAAGTTTTGCTGTAGAAGGACATGGTTTCTTTTTTTAAATTTTAAATAAATATTTATTGAGAATTTCATACATGCATATAAGGTGTTTTAATCAAATCCATGCCCACTTTTATCTAATCCTTAAAAGTTTTTCGGGTTACCTCTTCAGAGGGGAGAATGTTAGAGTAGCAAAAAGCCCCATTTAAAAAAAAATAAAGAAGAAAGAGTACATGAAATTATCATAAAAAAGACATAGTTTCTTTTTAATGACTTTTCATGCTTGTTTGTTTATTTACAAATGGGTGGTGATGGCCAGGCATGGTGGCACAGGCCTTTAGTCCCAGCACTAAGGAGGCAGAGACAGGCTGATCTCTGTGAGTTGAAGGCCAGCCTGGTCTACATAGTGAGTTCCAGGCCAGCTGGGGCTACAGGGAGACCCTGTCTCAAAAAGAACAACAACAACAACAACAACAAAAAAAAAACCAAACCAAACCAAAACAAAACAAATGGACAGTGATGACCAATTGCTGGTACCAAGAAGAAATGTATCCTGTGGGTTTGGGCAGAGTTGCAGAGAACCAAGCGCCCTTCCCGATTCTCCAAGGAGCCAGACCATTGCCGCCACTGTTGCTTCGTGCTGTGGTGTGCTGCCTCTGCTCACTGACCTGACTCCTTGTGCTTGTGTCTCCGCAGCTCTGTCCCATCAGGGCTGGTCTTCTGTGGGGACTCCTCCCTGACAGATAGAGCAGAGAGGCCCCTTCAGCAGGAGTGGGGTTAGACTAATGAGACCTGGTGAGCTGCCCAAGAGTGGTTAAGGCAAGGTGAAACTACAGAGCTGGCTAGAAATTTCTCCAAGCTTTTCACAAATCTAGAAGCAATCTATCTAGGGCTAAACATCAGATGATATTTCAGACACAGGCAGGTAAGAAATTGATTTGTAGTTAATAAAAAGATGGAGAAAATGAATTCATTGTTGGCTCCTTAATTTCCTTAATATGAGAGAGGTTTGATTTTGCTTATTTATTCATTTGTTTTGTTTGTTTGTTTGTTTGCTTGTTTTTTTGAGAGAGAATCTCAGTATGTAGCCCAGGCTGGCCTGGAACTATGGGTTTTTCTGCCTCAGCCTCCTGTGTACTGGGATCACAGGTATGGGTTACCACACCCAGATAAAAATGTTTTGATATGAACTGTCAAAACAAAGTATGGCATGATGGGTCTTATACTCTCAGGGGCCTGACAAAGGCCAGGTAACTATGGTACATGGGGATAATGATCCTAGATGAATGGTACAGTGCACATGCAAACTGTGAGGCCACATTTAGTGTGAGTGACAGACAGGGAAGAAGGAGATAGTTCTGGAGAGATGGCCAAGACTTGATGGAACAGGCCTCTTAGGTGAAGTAACGAAATAGTCGTTATCTGAAGGAAGGATAAAACAATATTGATGATAAATTCCAAGTAATGAGCAAAGATGGAACCCACTGTGTGTCTGTGGCTGTGATTCTGCACTTAATTCCGTAATACAGGAGTGTGACATTTCCAAGCAGAAGTGAAATAGTCAGGCTTTGTGAAGGTCTAAGGTAACTTTACTTCAGTTTGACTCTGCCTTTCTGTTCCCATCATCCAGGCTACACAGGCACCCTCCACAGCATACACATCTTTACTTCAATCTGCATAACAGTCTGCCTAGGACTGTGAAGCACTCCTAATATCTTGGTCCACCACCACCATCTCTCCTTCACTTTCTGTCATACAAGCTCTGTATTTCTCAAGCCAACTAGTAACTTCAAGTTTCTCCTGTTTTGAACTGCCAACTCCTCAGTCACTATCCATCCAGGGCCTCTTTCCACGTCTAGTACACTGTGTGTCTATAGCAGGTGTGTGGAATGGATGAATGCATCCGAAGTGGTTTATAGGATCATGAATTGACTGGAAACAAAGTGTGTATTCATTCAATAGCTTCACGCTTGAATAGTTGCCATATGCCCAGCTTTCTGTGCTGTGTTAGGAACACAATATATAGGTATTATTCTGCCTTTAGAGTGACTGGATTCAGGGAGATGGCTGATGTGTAAACTAAACATGTGCTAGACTGTGGTGAGTACAGTAAACAGGGTCCATAAAGTTCTAACCTATGCCTTGGTTCAGTATCAAAAGTTCAGGACTAGTCAGACCCAGTGGGCCCTGGAGCACTGTGGAACCCAGGGAAACTGCTATGGATTGTGAACTAACATTGCATTCATCTAAGGGGCATGCTTGCATCAAGGTTCTTATTATAAAGTTTCTGGTCTTTGCAAGTAAAGCTGCCAAGTACATCTTGCCCATTGTGTTTCCCTGGGTTGATTCTTAGCACTGGCTGGCTGCCTGACCCTGAGGGGGATGCTGAGAGCTTGCAGCTTTCTGGCACTCCCTCTTCTTTGAGTGGCTTGGACGTGTTCGCTTTGTGCTTCCGTTTTTTCTTAAAAACAATATTCTAGGAGTTTTGTTAATTTCTTAGGCCTGGAAAACCTACTCCTACTTTATGTGTTATGACATTTTGTGTCTAACACAAAAGTGTGCTTGCTGCTCTGACTTTATAGTTAATGTCTTTAAGTTATAAGTTCACATTTAGAAGTCACCTAATTTTTAATGACAAATCTTATTTATTTAGCAAATTTGTTTACAAAATGGCAATGATTTCAAGGCTTAGAAGAGTATTTTTTTTTTGGTCTTTTTGAGACAGGGTCTCCCTGTAGCCCCCAGCTGTCCTAGAACGTTGCTTGCTGCTCTGACTTTATAGTTAATGTCTTTAAGTTATAAGTTCACATTTAGAAGTCACCTAATTTTTAATGACAAATCTTATTTATTTAGCAAATTTGTTTACAAAATGGCAATGATTTCAAGGCTTAGAAGAGTATTTTTTTTTTGGTCTTTTTGAGACAGGGTCTCCCTGTAGCCCCCAGCTGTCCTAGAACTCACTATGTAGACCTAGCTGGCCTCAAACTTATAAAGATCCGCCTGCCTCTGCCTCCCAAGTGCTAAGATTACAGGCGTGTGCCACCACGCCCAGCTAGAAGAGTATTTTTCAAAGCAGTTAGGGGGGGATGGAGAGATGGCTCAGTGGTTAAGAATACTGTTCTTACAGAAGACCTGGGTTCGAATCCCAGCACCCACATGGCAGCTAATAACTTTCCATAACTCCAGTTCCAGGGGATCCATCAGCCTTTTCTGTCCTCTGCGGGCATTGCATTGCATGACACGGGTGCACTTACCTACATGCAGCCAATACATGCATACACATAAAATAAAAATAATAAATAAAACATTTAAAAACAGAACTACGCCTGCACATAGCAAGTGCTGTATAAGTAGTAAGTTATTTAAGTTCTATAACCCTGAGTTATACACTGTTATAATTTCCATTTTTAAATGACATGGAAACCAGTATACAGAGAGATTAAATAAATTCTCCAAGATCACACAGCTAGCTAATGGTTGGTTTACATCCCCAGAATCTAACTAGCATTTCTTCTTTTACTACTGAACATTGCTTCCTCCAGTCCCTTTGGCCATTTCCTCACAAGGGCTGTAGACTGAGTGATGAACTGACATAGAAAGGTGATTTTTACAGAATAGAATTTTCACTATTTTGAAAATTGAATTGTGGCTGGAAAATAATGGATTGTTTTGGTAGTTATGAAGCAATACATTTTTATAACACATTAGATCTATTAGCTCACAATCTTATAGGAAGTTAGGAACATTGTCTTTGCACACAGAAATAATGGTCTTATATTTATTTCTATGCTCTGTCTCCTACAGCCATAATTCTGCACAATGGAATAATCAGATGAAAAGTGGATCTTTTATTGTATCATACTATGCTTTGCTCAGGTCATCTTTAATAACTGATTATAGGACAGATTTCATTTGTGCTTTGGAAAAGATAGGGCATTTTTTTCCAATGCTATACTCATATTCACAAGGTTCAAGAAGCAAATCTTAGGGTTATCACAACTATAGGCAGCTACTGATAGGTTAATCTTGATAATTCATGTATTACACAGTTGATATTGTAAACAGTAACACAGTTATCTTGAAGTACTTTAAAAAATTTTATTTTTTAATAGTAAACAGATTTTTTTTATCAGTGTCATAAATATCATTGTTCAAACTGAGTAACAGTGGTGGGTTCTTATCTGTTACTGAATTCTTAGCTCCTGGTGAGCAGTGTGACCACTTGGTGAATGCTGGAGGGAGGCACTCGGTTCTACTTAGTGTACTTTCCCTGGATTCAGAAAGCCTCCAGCTGTGCATCTGAAGCACATGGGAAATGTTAAAAATCCCTGCTGGTGGAGAAACTTTCCCTAGAGCTGTTGGCCAGGGTAATCTAAGAGACTCCCAAAATTATAGAGACTATTGCCACAGTCCTTGATTGCCTCCAAGAACTTGATGGTAAGACCCTATTGCTGAAGATACTTTGGACACCGGATTTGGAGCAATGGAGGTAGAACTGACTTGGAAGCCACCTCCCCTGAAGGCTAGCTCTCGTAGCTCTGGAGAACACTATGCAAACTGGTATATCAGTCGATGGTCAAACCCCAGCTTCAAAGCCTAAAAACCACATCAATGACTAGCATTGCAAATGACATGATACAGTAGTGTCAGTTTTATCTTGGGGGTAAAATTTACCTAATTGGACTTAAAGCCCACTCAATGGGAGGAAACTAATGTCTGGTACTATAAACCTAGCCAAATACACATAGCTTGAGAGGTCATAGATCTTAGAGAAAACCCAAAGCTCTCATACCCCTAGACAAATGAAATTTCTTACTATGTGCAAAATATGGATCCTTAAATTTACAGACAAGTATCACAGTCACCACCCATCAAAGTAACTTCTTTTTCAGCAGACAGAGATTATTACAGAGTTCCACAACTGGTCACACACAGAGATTCTCTGTGAATTGTCCAAGCCTAAGTGGCACATTTAGGATGCAACTTTTAGACCTAATACTCATAGAACATAGAACAAGGGATGACGAGAACACTAATGCATCTTTCAGTTCTCATCAATGAAGCTCCCTCATGCAGCAGAGGGACAGGAATACAAAAGGCTGCAAATGGCCAAAACACAGAGAATAAGCATCAGCAGAGAGTGGATCCTTGGACAGGTCTTCTGTATTGAGGTCCACCGACCCAGGACTCAGGGACCATTGAGGAAGAGGGGGCAGAAGATTGTGAGAGCCATGGAGGAGGTGCATGACCATATGGAAATAGCTCTACAGGCAAGAGGGACCCTTCTCATACAAACCTACAGCATTGGTGTCAACATACACAAGACCCACGCAAACACAGGCAGACAAAAACCCAACACAGAAATGTGGAAATGAACAGCAAGCCCCATCTTAGTCAGAGAATTATTGGCAGCTGATTACTGCTGGGTGAGGAAGAGAAAGACTCTAGACAGGCTGACTAAACCCCAGGGGATGAACTTGCACTGAGGACACAAACTTTACATAATAGGCCTTCATACAAATGACAGAATGTATGAACTCCAGTGGCGGGGGGCTATGGGAGGTGCCAAAGGGGAAGGGGAAGGGAATATAAAGATGTGTTTATGTATGATATACACAAAAATTCAATTAAAAATTATATTTAAAAAAATCCCTGCTGGCCAGGCTCACCCTAAGCCTGTATCCCTAGCATTAGTTTAAGTATGGTGGAAACAGCATTGAAGAAAAATAACCAGATTCCTGTTATAATCAAGGGAGACCGAATATACATAACAGTAAGCTGTAACAAGTGACATCATTTTTGACAAAACAGCATAAAAATGAAAGTAAATATCTAAATCAGAGATGATTAAATCTTGGAAAACTTATATTTAGCAGAGATGTCGCCTTAATTATTGGCCTAGTGGGAAAACCCTCATTGTTTGGCCCTCTCCTCTGCTTCTCCCATTCTGTGACATTTCTTTACCTTGTGTTGGATGAATTGTGATGGTCATGAACTCTCTGTTTCTATTTCTCTAGCTTCCGGCCATTAACTTTGATAGTGCCCAAAACAACATGTCAAAGTCTGAATCCACCCTCAAGGCAGGGAGTCACAGAGCTCGAGGTCAGTGGCATGAGTCCACAGAAGCAGTTGAACTTGAAAATTTTAGGTAAGAAATCTCTCTTCCTGTTAGTAACCTACTTGAGTTTGCTTATTTAAGTTTTATCACAGAAATGAAAATTTAAAACCTGGATATTCTTAGTTTAATAATTTCAGTTAGTATGTAAATTGTTCCAGAAAAAAATGCCTTAGTAACAGACTGAATAGGCACAGGTGGAATTGACCAGGAAGTTTGGGAAACCCTGCTGACATGATATGTGGCAGTTCATTGAGGAAGTAGTTCCAGGTTGTTGACCTAGGTCAGCCAATTCCAGGCTTAACCTTAGCTTTTTGTGTCTCCATCTTTAAAGTTAAGAAAGGACATAAAAGAATCCATTACTGTGACAGATGTTGTGGCTAAAGAAGATGGTAATTGGACTGGCAAGATGGCTTACTGGGTTAAGGTACCTGCCACCGAGTCTGACATCTTGAGTTCAATCTCTAGGAGCCACATGATGGAAGGAAAGAACCAACTTCTGAAAGTTGTCTTATAACCTCCCTACACATTTCATGGCACATACAGAACTACACACAGACATATACAAACACACACACACACACACACACACACACACACGCACACACACACACACACACGCTTAATTTTTTTTTTAAAGAAGATGGTAGTTAAAAAAAAATCCAAGGTTCTCAGTCACAGGGATAGTATCTCAGCTCTAACACAAAGAGTGTCAACCCATGTTTCTCTCTGTTGCCATGTGGACCTTCCAGGAGCATATTCCTGTGAAGCATACATTCCTGTGGGCCACTCCCTTTCTAGGAACTGGCTCTTAGTATTACAGTGTGTTCAGGCCATTTGCCAGTAAGTGCTGTGTAAATAATGAATGGCATGAACTATCAACATGAATATTTTAGAATGCCTACTTAATTGTTTGGCTTACGTTGTTTCATATAACATTTCATGGGTTCATATTTTTAATTTCTGAAGACTAAAAACATGTTGCATACTTAGTTACATATATTGAGAAATGATTACAGCCTTCACTTGGCCACGTAGGGATGTGCAGTTGAATGGTATCTGAAACACTATAAAAGCAGATGTTCAAGTGACACCATAAGTTACTGAAGTTACCTTGAAAGAGGTATATTCATATAATTTTAGTTAATTTAGTCTCGATCTTAAAAATCAGTCATTTCTTTATCATTTTGTGTGTGTATGCCTGTGTTCCTGTACATACTTACAACAGTTTATGCATGAAGGCCAGAAGACAGCTTTCAGGAGTCAGTTCTCTTCTTCAATCATGTGGATTTCAGGGATCGAATTCAAGTTGGCAGTAAGTGCCCTTACTTGCTGAGCCATCTCCCTAGCACCCAATTTTAAAATGTAGCAAAATATGATATAACATATATTGTAATAATTTCACGTTTTTGTGAAATATCTTTTCCCAGGCTGAAAGTTTTAGGGGTATTTTAAATCTATTTTTGGACTATAATATCATCCCAAAGAAGCTGAAGCTGTAATGTAAAAAATTGATCAAACACACATAGGCAAAACAGATAACAGCCATGAAAAAACCAGCGGTTAATAAACTGTTAATAAATCCTTATTAAATACAAGGAAATGCATGTGACAAGTGGTGATTTTGATAGCTGGAGCAGCTAATGGGAGGTGGGACAGCAGGTAGACAGTCAGGTGAAGGTTTCTTTCTTGATGGACAGCAGTACAGAGCGTGGCCTCTGATGTGCTGCCTCTCTGTGTGCCTGTCTATCGATATTAGCTGGACGTGTGTATAGGGAATGACTGGATTAACATGGTAAAATGAAATCTGTATGTTTAAATGTGATTTTTAGTTAAAAATTATTATTTGTGTGTGAGTATATATATATGTGGCTCCTAAGTACGTTTGGAGATCAGAGGACAGCTTTGCAGAGTTGGCTCTCTCCGTCCCCTGTCATATTTGTTCTGTGACTCGAACTCAGGTCACCAGGTCTTATATAGTAGTCTCCTTTACCCTCTGAGACATTCCTTGGCCCTTGAGTATAATCTTCTACTTAACTTTATCATTGGGTTTCTAGTTCCTAGGTGACATTTGCCTTTCGTAATATGTTAACGTTGAGACTCCTTCAATATTGTCTGAATTCAGATGGCCTTTGTTTTCATTGGTAACTTTGAGACAGTCCAGGTAATAATTATTATAGAATGTTTTTCTGTTTGTTTCATCTTAGTATAAACTACAAGAATGAAAGGAATTTCAGCAAGCATCCCCAGCATCAGTTATTTCAGGAGATCTTTACAGCATTGGTGAGAAACAGACTCATATGCAGGTAAGTCTGTCCCTGAATGTCCTAAGAATGGCAGGCTTCACAGATGCTGTGATTTGAAACACCTTATAGAGGTAATGTAATGTGGTTAAGAGATGAAATAGAGCACACAGACTGTGTAGGAGGTGGACAAGTGGCACGACTTGTTTTCTATGGAATCACCCCATAGATTCTGAATTTAGTGAAAGGTTAGGACTGGGAAGAGCATTCAAGTTTCATTGTTTTCCTTAATTTTCCATTTTGAGTTTGGATACTCAAGGAAAATATACTGGGTGGTCCTATGAAAGTGACACTGGTTAACACTGTGCACAACTTGACAACACCCTTCATGTTATACCTTTGCAGTTGATACAGTGGCTAAGTAAATGGGCTGTCCCAACCTGGACCTTGAGGAAATAAAGGATGAGCATGTGACATCTAGTCCCAGCCCATGTCCTATTCTTAGTGACCACTGGGGAATCTTGAATTAGACAGAATGACTTTTAACATAAGCAGTCTCAGGGAGTTTTCAGACTAAGAAGAGATAAAGGTAGACCTCTTTTCTTTCACAGAATGAGAAGGAACTTGTGAGTCTTGAATCTTAAGAGCATCCTACCCTTCTCTGTCATTCTTTGACACTGACAGATTTCTGTGTTCAGTGCTATTCTGAAATCAGGGTTGGGTAAAAGATGGATTAAGTGTCAAAGTCTCCCACGATCCCCCTCACCTCATATAATCTTGCTAAGATGGTAGAAACATCCCCCCTTATATTTGTACTTATGGAATAATTACATCTCAAAGCTTTTTTTTTGATGTGGCTTCCTATCTATCCTTTGTGAGCATTCGATATAATGTTGGATGGAAGGCATAGATAGATTCAATTTACTCAAGAAATTGATGAGCATCTACTGCTTGCCAGGAAGGAAGAGGCAAATGTGGTGGAGGAAGGACAGGTGAAAATGCACAGGATGTGTGACCCTTACCTTCCTCAGCAGAACAGTTATCACTATCCCAACACAAAGCAGAGTATACGTATTTGTATTTTACAGTAGGACAGTTAAAGACTGAATGAAATTAGGGATGGAAACTCAGGTGCCCAATTCTGGTTGCAGAGAAGATTAGACACATTTGAGGACTCGATTTCACCCTGAAAACACAATGCATTGGAACTGGGCTTTTCTGGGAGTGCGGCTCCTTCTCGTCCCTTTCAGCTTCTACCCAGTTGTGTCATTTCCTCCACCTGTCATGACCCTTACCTTCATTCTCCCTGGTCCACTGTGCAGACCCTTCCTTTCTAGGTCCTTTTTATAAGATTGACCTGTGGTTTTATTCTCTGTTCTGAGAAATGAAACTTCCTGGTGGCATCCGAAACTAGGTGGGACTTGTTAATCCAGAGCTAGTGAGCGTGGGCCTCCAACTCTTTTCACAAGGCAAGGTAAGCACTGCCTGAACTTGCGGTCATGACAATAGGCTGCTCTGGATGTATCTGCATCTAGAAACAAATCTTAATCTGCTCTCTTTCTGCCATAACGTGATTTGTCTGTAGTACAGTCTGATATTGAAGATCAACATGTTTCCATCTCATCTTCTTGGTATCTAATACCAGGCTGTCCTGAGGTTGTGCAGGGAAGTAATAACTGTTGCAATACTGTTAGAGATCCTCTAATAACTGAAAGCCCAGATCCCTCTTCTGTGTGTCTGCCTCCTGTTAGTCCATTCTTTTGTTGTTGTTTTATTTTTTGAGACAGGGTCTCACTATGTATCCCTGACTGGCCTGCGACTCTCTTTGTTGACCAGGCTGGCCGCAAACTCACAGAGATCCACCTGCCTCTTCTTGCCGAATGCTGGGATTACAAGCGTATGCCACCAAGTCCTTCCTCTGCTAATACAGCTTCTTATTACGATGTAACATGACTAATTTGTGAAGTGGGTTTGTCCATAGGGCTGAGGGCACAGGGCTTCATGAAGTCTTTGAAGTCCTGGTGGTGAGCTAGTAGATCTATGTCTGAGGCTGAGGCAGGCATGGGAGACTTTACAATGGAAGATGACAAGAGGCTTCAGGGTGTATTTGGAATGACAGTAACAAAGACTGGGGACACTTCGGGGGAAATGATCAGTCCATCTACTTTCAAAAAGGACTCTCTTTAGCTTCAAAAGTCAAAAGTGAGTTAAAGAATATTGGATCATGTTACATGACAATTTTTTTAAAAAGCAATGGTATCAAAAATATCAGCAGAATGCATTATAAGTTTGATGTGGTTCTAAATTTGGTGTTATTTTAAAGTGAGTTCATTCAGTTCACTTTCCTGGTGTTATTATTCTACAATAATGTGGGTACCCCTTTCTCCTTACCCACAAGTGTTGTAGAGGTGAGCGTGACCCAGATATTCTGGTTGTGGTTAGAAGAGACCCATCCGATTCATTCAATAGGACACTATTTGTCAAAAAAAAAAATTACTTACCCCCCTAAAATAGGTTGCTCTCATTATTATTTTGCATCAAATGTCCCTAAATATTTGCCACAAATTTGAAAATGAGCCTGTAGCATGTTGAAATGGGAATATGTTTAAGCTATCAATAAGAGAGAACTTTGTGTATTAGAAGACATTCAGCCAAACTATGGCAATCTAATTAAAAATTGCATTAAAAAGTGTCCTGGGGGACTGGAGAGATGTCTCAGTGGTTAAGATCATTGACTGCTCTTGCAGAGGACCTGGGTTCAATTCCCAGCACCCACATGGCAGCTTACAACTGTCCTTAACTCCAGATCCAGGGAATCCAACACCTTCTTCTGACCTCCGCGGGCACTGCATGACATGCATGTTACTTACATATATGTAGGCAATACGCTCATACACATAAAAAATTATAGGTGTTTTCTTAAGTGTCCTGGGAATGTGCTAGGTGCCCTTAGCCTGGAGGACAAGTGAGATATGGGATTAACAACGGGACCTGTGTTGACTGTGTTGGTACTAGGGCAGAGATCATGGTGCAAAGTGACTTTTTTTTATCTTCACCTGGTTCTCTGCATGAGCTATACAGGCCCATCATAGAGATGGTAAGAGAGGATCAGGTGTTAGGATGCAGTGAGGATCCCTATTGCTTAGAGTTTATTCAAGTTCTTGATACACCTGCATTTGGTGGACAGATGTGTAGTCTCACCTTATCAGGCAGTAAAAGGCCAGTAGGTTTCCTCTTAGCAGGGGAGGCTCTGAATTGTGTGGCACAATCTGTAGCTAGTTCAGAACTCTGCTGGAGAAAAAAAAAATTTATTAGGGCTCCAGAGACTCAGGCTTGAGACTTTATGTGCTTAAAAGCTTTCAATGCCTGGTTTCTTAAGTGTGTCATATCTTTTTTACTCCTTGGCCTCTTCTTTTTTTTATTTGCTTTGTGGTCTTAGGGACAGAATCAGGGCTGCACATGAACTAAGCATGTGTCCTACTGTAAACCACACCTCAGCTCTACAGACTCTGCATCTCCTGGGCTCAGCAGGGTCAGAATCAAGTTTCTGTTCCTCTCTTCTGAGCTTCTGCTGTGCTTCAGGTCCACCTGAATCACTGCTTCCAACTCTCTGTGGGTTCAGCTTGTTCTGACCCCTGTTCTCATGACCTCTGGAGCCCTGTTCTTCCTCAGTATACATTGACCTCCTGGAAACCAGGGCCTGGGTCTTTTATCCCCAACTCTAGCTACTGAAGTTGGTTTTTACTGTTAAAAACCAAGACCGTTACCTAATTTGGAGCAAATATGCAGCTCTTACTTATTTTTTTCACTGATGGGACTGGAACCCAAGGCCTTGTACAGTCGAGGCAAGTGCTCAGTCATGGAGCTACATATGCAGCCTTTGGTTTGTTGAGAAAGGCCTTGCTATGCAGCCCAGGCTGGGCTCAAACTCACTATGTAGTTTAGGCTAACCTCCAATTTATGATCTCACAAATGATGGGATTGCAGGTGTGCGTGCCATTTCCAACATTTTTACATTTTTATTTCTCATGAAATGTTTTTTAAGGTTAATCCCATTCTTTAAATGTACATGCACGCACATGTGCATACAAGAAAATTAGAATAATTTTGAAGGTGGAGTGGATTCTGAGGAAGGCCCAGCTGGTGCCATCAGATAGAGGAGGGGGCTGAGAAGCAAAAGCAGAGGGCCTTGGCAGAGTCTGGGCTGGCACTCGTCCTGTGCCATGTGTTCCTTGATTTCTTTCTCTGGATCATGAAAACACTTTTAATTGTGTACTTATGTTTAGTAACCATTCCTGATCAGAGTGTTTCTACATGATTAAAGGCAATATGCCTAAAACTTGGCATGAAGGTAAAGTAGTTCTTTGGTGATGGTGGTATTTTCTTGTGCTGCTTACTCCTCCTCCTGAGGACCTCATCTCATCAGAAGCCTGACAGGCAGGAAGCTAAATTGCTCTACCTTCCCGGGAAAGAACTTCTTGTTCTTGGCCAAAGCAACTATAACCTGGCCGGATCCCCAGATCTATGCAAGGCAAATTTGTTTCTAATCTCTCCATGAGCTTCTGAGAGTAACAATCACATTACAGGAGCTGCCTTTTCAAATCTAGAAGTTGATCTCTTCCCCCTCCCCATCTCCTTCTTTTCCTTTTCCTTCCCCTCTCCTTTCCACCTCCCTCTACTTCTCCCTTCGTCCCCTGTCCCTCTTTCCCCCTCTCCTCTGTCTCCTCTTTCAGGGTCTCACTATGTAGCCAAGGCTGAATGCTGCTTCAGCTTCCCATGTGCTGCAGTGACAGGCACAGGCCACTAGGGCCAGCTTCTACTTTGAAAGCCTGCCTGTCTCTCACCTCCCTATGAGCTTTACAGGTAGGGAAGGCTTCCTTGCTGTGAATCCACCCTTTGTTTCACATGATTTACCTTTCCTTGTATGTGTCACGTGTCATGCCTAAAAGAGGACTTTGATTTTCCTGTCAACTCATGAGACCACCTCAGCTTTAGTCTGCACTGTCTACTAAGCTAATCCAGGCTACTAGAAGTTTTTGCTTGGGCAAGTGCAGTAGGCTAAGAGGGTTCCTTGGTTTGGCTTCCCTTTACTCTGTTCTCAGTATTGCTTTCAACATCTTATCCAGATGATGTGGATCTTGTGGTCAAAGCTTTCTAGTACCTTCCCAGAGTAAAAAGATCTCAAGACCCTGTTACTAGAACCACAAAACCCTTAAAACTCTGCCTCCTCTTTATAGCCAGAGCTTCAGCTTTTTCTCTGCTATTTTTTATACAAACCCCAGTGCTTGAGCTGTAGGCAGCTCTGCTTGCTATACAGACAGAAGTTTGCACAAGGATTCTGCCCTCAGCTCACTCAGGTGCTAATCTTACCAGAGAACTTCCTCTGGCCACCTCAAAATAGCACCCTGCCCTAATGAACCCTTGTCCTGGTTGTTCTTCAGTCACCTCCTGATAGATGTTTCTATGTGTCTGGGCTCCTGGTCAATGCCTGTTAGAGGGGGTTTGCTGAGCAGAGGCCTAGGCCTTGCCCCTGCTGTGCCCTGGGCTCACCCAGAGCCATGCTGTTGGAGCATGCTGATGAACTGATGAATGTGTGGAAACACTATGCCATGTCCATCAATTAGAAGGATGTGCACGCAAGTCCTCTCTACTCTTTGGCCTGATTGCTACAGTCCAGGCCATGACATTCTGCTCAGGTGCACATTCTGGCCTGGGCTGAGTAGGTGACACAGAGGACAAGCAAAGAATATAGAGCACAACAGGAGGGGTTGGTGGGGTGCTTGCTTACCCTGGAAGCTGTGTCCTTACTGGGCCACACTACCGCTAATGGTGACCTGTCCTCTGCAGCTCTTGTGTCATATCTTGATCTCATTCTCTGTGAGAGAAACAGAAACTCTACCTACCCTTTCTCTTTTCAAATGCTACGTCTACAGTGACATTTAACTTCTCCTTTGATACCGATAGCGTGAAATGGCATCCTGGACAAGGAGCCGAGTGTGCTGTGTATATTAATAGTCTTGTAAAGCACTGGCATAAGTTCAGTCAGCAGAGAGGATAAATACTTTGCCTGCTCATGAATTCACTCCTGTATGGCTGCCATGTTGAGACAGGCTCCAGGGAAGTACTGCCACTGGGGGACATGTAAGTTTCCATGACTGCCTCTAAGGACACAGGCCATTCTGCTGCACCTCTGGTTCCCATGTTAAAGTATCCGAAGAATGTTTTCTGTCCATCTTCCATGTGGAACCCAGGTGGAGGAGACCCATAGTGCCAAAGTCAGTCAAATGGAGATGCCATCCTTTCCATCTGTGGCTGTGGTGGTTTAAGTACAATGGGTTCTGTTTCCTAATCCTCTGACTCTTGGTTAGCAGAGGTATATGTAGTCTCCCTCCAGTACTGTACCTTTGCAACACATCTGTCCTCCTGGGAGTTCTCAGCTGGGAGCCAAGATAGGGCTCCTTCAGAGGTTGCAGACCAGGGGCAGAGCCTAAGGATTGGGATACCAGGAATCCTATTTACAGCAGCAGGGCCATAACCATGAGAAATATTAATAGATTTGGGCTTCCATTCCAAAATTGCAAAGCAAAACAAGAAATGCCATTTTCCTGGAACAGAACTCTCAACTCAGATTATTCCTGATCTCTACCTTTGGTTATAGTCCTTTAATAGTGCAAATTAAAGTCCACTCTGAAATTTTTCTTATTTTTCTTGGGGAGTAAGAAGAAAAACAGAAAAGACCTTTTAATAGGTATTTTAATATGGACACAACCTAGGAAAAGTCACAGACTTCCTATGAAGATGGTATGGCCATCAGAAAGAATGACAAGGGTATTCTTCTTAAATAATGACGCACCATTGGTATTCAGTGGTATCAGGTTACCTATAGCAACTGTAACCTGAAGGCCAGCCACCTTCTTCCTGGGAGTGGGGTTGGGGAGGGTTGGGAGGGAAAGGGCTTTTGAGAGGTAAGCCTTTGCTCTGTGCCCTCTCTGTAAATGACTATTAGGATGACGTTTCTTTGTGGGTGTTTTCAAACTGATCTGTTTTTCCCAAGGCTGGGTCTGAAGTAGGATAACTGCAGCCCAGTGGCCACTGTGGCCTCTCCTGTGCAAGTGTTCCACTACTGAGCTGTGGCCCCAGCCCATCATTTTAAAAGAACTGTCTTTTAAATTAATTTTTTAAGACAGCATACAAAGTGAAGCTGGGCATGGTGGCACACACTTCCAGCACTCAGGAGGCAGAGGTAGCCAGATCTCTGTGAGTTCAAGGCCAGCCTGGTCTACATACCAAGTTCCAGGTTGGCCAGGTTTGTATAATGAGACTCTGCTAAAAAAAAATGACATCCTTTGTTCTTTTGTTCTGATTCATTTCCTGTCCAGCCCTTTTTTTACTTCTTATTTTAAGACTTTCTCACTAAGTTGCCTAAGCTGGCTTTGAACTTGCTTTGCTTGTAATTGTCCTGTCTCAGCCTTCCAATCAGCTGGATGACAGGCCTGTATCATCCAAAAAATGACATCCTTTGTTCTTTTGTTCTGATTCATTTCCTGTCCAGCCTGGAGGGTTCTGCCTGGTGGGCAGCGTGGGGGTTAGTTGAGTCCTATTTTTATTTTTCCAGAGAAACTGGGCTGTGCCCCATGGCAGAAGGGCCACTAACATAGTGCCTGCCCTGGAGGCAGCTGTGGTGTCCGTGCAGCGGTGGTAGGCAGCTGCCAAGAGTCTTGGTGATGGGCCTAAGAGTGGTTTCCAGCAAGGGGGACTCTGGGTCTTTTTACTTTTGTGTACTCTCTCCAGACAAAGGACACCACTCAGGGGGCTTCTACTGTCTTCCTTTTTATGAGCTAACCAGAGAGGTGTGTGTGTGTGTGGGGGGGTCTTTGTTGTTTATTTGTTTGTTGTTGTTTTAGCTGTTCTTGTTAGAAAGGTCTCATGTAGCCCAGGCTGACTTAGAACTCAATATATGTCCAGGAATGACCACAAACTCCTGATCATCCTGCTGACATCTTCCAGGTTCTGGGTTCTCTGTATTACCACCACACCTGGCTCAGAAAGGTTGTAAAGTCAAGACAATGAAGGATTCTTGCTGTCTTCCGTGTCCCTTGGGTTTAAATCCACCAAATGAGAGGTGCCTGGCATGAGACCACATGTATTTACTCTGAGAATGCTGGTTTAAGCTGGGGCTGCTCAGTGTATATCTGAGTAGCTGCTGTTAGGTGCAGGGCCCTGTGAGGACAGCTGTGTGGCTCTTTCAACAACACAGCAAAATTGTAATCATCTTTAAAGACCTTTAGGTGGTCCTGACTACATTCTTTTCTGTCCTTAAATATGCTTTTGAGTAGGTGTGTGCATTGCTGCTTCAGATTTGTACAAATAGTACGTGGACACTGGGTATGTTCTCTTTGAAGAAGCAGACCCAGTGTCGTTAGTTACCTCTGTGCTTGGCTGTTGTGTATATCCGCTCAGCTTCTGTTGTGATGTGACGTCTCCAGTTGCTGTGGTTTTAATATCAGCACATTGGTGACTCTCAGGACAAGGCTCTGCTTTGCCCAGAGCCCTCAGATTCTCATCCTTTTGTTGGTGCTTCCCAACCAACATCCCTCAGCACAGTGGTCCTTGAGGTCCTTGAGGCACCTGAGTGAGCGCATGCTGGGGACTTGTCTCTCTGTCCTTCCCAGCTCTTAGGTGATTGTTATAGAGTCCTTGCCTCAGTGTGGGACAACTCTAATAGGTGCTGACATTCCAATTAGCTTGGTTTAATTCCCTCCCCTCCCCTTAACTTTACACCCTAACCCCCAGCTCAGCTAGCTGTGTCAGTTACTTCACATGCCAGTCTTCATCTCAAGGTCTGTTCTGGGGAAGCTAAAAAAAATACTTAGTTGTCATGTTTCCCAAACTAACAACCAACCAGAGGGGTACTGTGTGACATTTTAAGTTGGCAAAGGTAACCCATCCATCAAATGGATTTTGAAAGTCTTCAGGCATTTGTGAATGCAGTGTTAATGACCCATGTTCCCTGCCTTAGGATGTTGGCGTGCCTATCTACAGGTAAGTTTTCAGGGGTAGTTATAATCAAAGGCAAGTGCTATATGGATATAGGCAGGGAGAAAATTAAATTGGTCCTATCTGATCTGATTCCAGGGCTTGAGAAGTTTTTCTTCTACTGTTCACATTCACACACCAACCTTCAGAACATATATGTGCCTGTCCTTCAGGACATATATGTGGCTATTTAAACATAAAAAAGCCAGGCACATATATGTGCCTGTCCTTCAGGACATATTATGTGGCTATTTAAACAAAAGTTAAAAGCCAGTCATGGCACATATCAGTAATCCCAGAATTAGAAGGCTGAGGCAGGAGGATCCTAAGTCCAAGAGTAGCCTGGCCATAGAGTAAAATGAAACCATCTCAAAATACGGGTTCTTCTTACTGTTTCAAATGAATATTTAGTTGTTAGGACAGTGATTCTTATTAAGTTGAGTCTAATCATTAGAATTTTTAACTATTTTGGTTTAGGGACACCATGAAATATTATTTAATTAGTATGGGTACTCTGAACCAAATTACTTGGGGTGGGGGTGGGAGTCTCTGTTCCAGAGTGATGAAGACATTTCTGTGGGTCAAGACATTAGTGTGGGTCAAGTGTGAAATGCCAAGCAACAGTCTCCACTGCAGCTGAAGCAGAAACAGACTGCCCATCTTTTCTTTACGGCTCTTTGCTTTGCTTCGTAGTTGTTTGCTATTTATGAGCTGTCATGCTGGGCCTTAGACATTAACACATTCTCTTTTGTTTTCTTCTTTCAGAGAGTGGGTTAATCGAGCTCCATCCATTCATTTTCTGAGAGTGTTAATTTGTCTGAGGCTGCTAATGAGGGACCCGTGTTATCAGGTTGGTTGAAAAACAAAAACTGTTTCTCACTTGTTACAGAAATGAAATTTTAAAAAATGGTGGCCTTTTTTTTGAAGTGGACAGTGTTAACATTTTTTCTTTCTTTCACAACTCACTGCCTTCTAAATGTTGCTCACATCTCACCTGCTATTTAAAAAGAGTAAGAAGTGTTTTGCAGGCAACTACACCACCTGTATATTTATGCTTAATCCTTGAAATTAAATGATTGAACTTTGGTCTGTGTTTCTACTGCTACCTGACACTTGAGGCCATTGCCTGTTCAATGGAGGTATATAGTAAAATACACACCTTCAAGCATGTTCAAGGCCATCCACCTCACTAGGTCATAGTCAGCAGCAATAAGAGGGTGCATCAGCAATGACAAGAAGGGGACTCGCCATGTGACTCCAGAGGCAGCCCACAGGAACAGCGGGACTGTAGCCTGTCAGCTCCCAGGAGCCAATTCCTTCCCAGCTCCCAGCTGGTAACTCTGAGTTCAGGAGAGCACAGGGCCTCCCTTCATTGGTCTCAGAGGAGGGGCCTGTGATCAGGACCCTCCCTTTTCTGTACTGCTCAGTTGAATGTGCTGCTTCTAGTTTCCAGCCTCTCAAATGTTAATATCCAAGAATCAACAGAGATCTTGTAGATACAGATTCTTATTCAGTAGGTGTAAACTGAGGCCCGTGATTCTGCATTTCTAATACTCTTTCAGGAGATGCCTAGGTTACTGGTCCATAGCTTATGCTTTGAAGAGCAGAACTTACTGCTTTCTCCGTGAGGCCCTAAAGAAAAGCCTACCTGAGAATCCTGGGCTAGATGTTTTTTCTGGCCCCTAGCTTGAAGGTAGGGTGGTGACTGTACAATATAGCTTTTTGTCAAACTCACTTGTATCAGTAACACCTGAAGGAACCAGAAGCCAGGCATAGTGGCACATGCCTTTAATTCCAGCACTTGGGAGGCAGGGGCAGGTGGAGATGGAGGTCATCTGTGAGATGGAGGTCAGCCTGGTCTACCTAGCGAGTAAGTTCTAGACTAGTAAGAGCTGGTAGACCCCATCTCAAAAAAAAAAAAAAAAAAAAAAAAAAAAAAAGGAAGAGAAAATAGAAAAAGGAAAAAGGAACACTTGGAGGACTTAAAGATTACTACGGCCCAGCTCATGGTTTCTGATCAGTAAGTCTGTCACAGGCACTGACAGTCTAAGTTCCTAGGTGAGAGTGAGGCTTCTAGCCAGGGAGCTAAAGAGTGAGAAGGCTTCAAGATTGCTTCGGTTGTATGGTGTTAAATAGCAACATGTCTGCTATTTGCATAGACTATTTTTCCATACAAAGGGTCTTGTTTTATGCCTGTCCTCATAAGCCTCTGGGAAGCTCACACTGCTCAGATCTCTTATTGAAGAGTCAGTTTTATTGATGAATGGTGAGTTCTTATTTTAGTCAGAATGTTCCCTTTTATTGCGCTAATCATCATCTTCCAAACTTAGCACTTAAAACATGTGTCTAGCTTGTCTTCTGGGGTTCTTAGTTGACCCCCCTACCTTCTTTGCATGCATTCTAAACTGGCTGTTTGCTGCTATAGGTCAACCAACCAGAACTCTTTGAATAATTGGTCAGGCTATCCTTCAGGTGATCTGTCTTGGCTGCTCACAGTTCTTTGCATAGAAAGCAACTTTTCCCTATGAGCAGCTGTAGAGAGTTGTATGACCTGTTTATTTCAGAGCTACCCTGCAAAGTAATGTGAGTGATCTGTATAAATATGGATCATGTGTTTTGATTTTTCCCTGCAGACCCAGGCCATGCTCTTTGCTCCCACTTCGTAGATGCCAACACCATGTTTCCTCTCTGATCTGTCCCAGTATGTACAAAAGCATTCTATGCATAATATTTAGTAAGAGTATTCAAGGAGGAAGAGTCAGTTTTCTGACATGTAGACATCAGCCAAAATATTTTCTGTAGAGATGCCCTGTTTTTTGGGAAAATTGGTGGCAATGGGGTCACCCTTTGCTGATCTCTCTTTGAAGTACTGCCTTTGTTTATGTAGTCCTTGATGGATTGAAGAGTGTTGATTATACTCCTCTTAAGAGGAAAGAATGCAGTGACTGCTTTGTTTATGTGATCTTGTTACTACATGCATACTAGGCCAGTGTCCTGGGTTGACAGTCCTTCCATAGAAGGGGATTCTTTCTGAGCCTCTGCTGGCCAGCATGCTTCCCTCACAGAAGAGCACGTGCTCTGCCAGTTGTGTAACTCCTCCAGTTGCCAAAAATTCTTGGCCGGAGTCATGAAACCATGCTAGGGATTACTACAACTTATTCCACAGAATGTCCGAAAGCCTTTGCCATCACTACACATTCCTCTCCTCTTATTGAGACGCTGGCAGTCCCAGCCATCTCCTACTTACCATGTCCTCCTTATAGAATGTGTCAGCGTTTTACAGAGGAGCCCACAGCCAGCCCCAGGAGTTTTCTTTTTTCCTCTTTGTTGTTTGAAACATTTGCATTATTGTATGGCTTTCTTGGCTGCCTTCTTCTTTAGAAATAATATTCCTCTTCCCAACCAAAGCTTATTTCCCCGTCCGCCTGCTCTTTCTTGTGATCCCCTCCCTCTGTGGTCCCCTTCTCATAAACATACCTTGTCCCTTTTTTGCTTTTGTTACTTTTTTTTTTTTTTTTTTTTTTTTTTTTTTTTTTTTTTTTTTTTTTTTTCACACTTTTTTCTTTTTTTTTTACAAATTGTGATAT